TAAATATATTTCGTAATTATAACGCCCACTAATCAAGCTGATTACAGGGTATCAAGTTTTCGTGCAAGCGCATCTATAGCGTGTTTACTTGTTCTCTACTCTACTCTACTGCTACCAAGTCGCCGTATGCACATGTCTACATATGTTTATATGCCTATATGAAAGTATGAATGTATGTATGTACAGACCTACCACCTCATGGCATAATCTTCAAGATCTCTTCGCATTGCTTCAATTAATTTTTATGGTATTCGCAACCCATATAAGAACCACGCCTTCCAGCCAGCCATGGAGATAGACTGCTAGCCAGCTAACCAGCCAGCAAGCCAGCATGGGTTAATAAAAAGACCAGCAACAGAAATTGGCTTCAGTGAACGCCCGTTTAGAACTGATTTAATTGCAATTGTGCGCCAGCATTGCCAACATGCAATTGTTATCAAATACATATCGTCACCCTCCCGGCAATTGTGGGCAACATGGATAGATGTTGGGGAATGGGAATGGGAATGGAATGGACTTTGATTAGTGGGCTGAGATGCGGGTTAATCCATACCCATGACGTGTCGAACCGAGCCGTTAATTAACAAGTGTAATTGATAATGCAACTGCAACAGCAAAGACATTAAGACAGATAGAGAGAGAGAGAGAGAGAGAGAGAGAGAGTGAGATAGGGACAGAGTGGTACCCTTAAATAGCTTTGGTTGCACTTGTGATTAATTACACCAATTGCCAACTGGCTGCAGGCAAACAGATGTCAATAAACCATGGCACACATTCGCGGTTAGCAACACTTTATCTTTTCGGGGGGGATGAACAGCAATGCATGGTGACAAGTGGAAATTGCTGAGAGCTCTGGAGAAGTGAGAAAATGTATTTTTAAACTCAGAAAAAGCATATTTTTAAAGAGTCACGACAATTTAAAAGAGAAAGAGAGATGGCGATCGGGCAGTAGAGAGGAACTTAAACGTTTGACATTTATTTCGCATGACATTTCACACACGCACACACACAAACACGCTCACACTTTGTAAATAAACGACACTCATGCGCCTAGTTATCCAGCAGAATTGTCTAAAATGCCTTTATTTCTTGCTTTTATTTTTGACTGAAAACTTTAAGCAATTTCGACAAAAATGTCTGTTCTTATTTGGGCGCACTTCCCCCTTTACCCTCATCGCCCGATTAGCCCGTGGCAAGCAGACATGAGTCTGTTGCGCATGTCGTCTCCGGGGGTTGTGTCGCAGTCGCTGTCGCCGCCGCCGCCACCGCTCAGTTCCGTTGTATCCACTCTCATCTCCCCGGCAGCAAACATTTCTGTCGCACTGCTCGAAATCAGTTTGAAAATTGCCGGCGGTCAGCGCATTTACTCGGCCGCTGAAACCGCTGAAAAACCAAATAACGTGAATTACATATTTGAAAAATTTCGTTTCGCCTTTTATTTTTCCGCCTATTTTTGTAATTCAATTTAATGAACGCACAGTTCGTGGAAAATGTGACTGCCTGTGGCAAAAAAGAAACATATATACATAGATAGGAATACATATGCGTATATACAATTATATATAATGAAAATGATTGCAATTAAATTATTAGCGAGCGATTGCTTAATGTAAAATTATGCCAATTATATTTTGAATATTCATAAAGTGAAAAACAAATGAAAAGTGTGTGATTTGTTGACAAATGCGATTTGTTAGCCAACCATGAGAAGAGCAAATTTTGGCACAGAGCAATAATGTCTAGTAAAATTTGTATAAGCACATCGAGAGAAATGTTTATTCATCGAATGAATTTTATTAACTAACAAATTATTCATGCATATACTAGGTGGAAAACTGTGTGGCATTTGTTTATGTGAAATTGCGTTGAATTTTAGAAAATCAGTATGAGTTGCAGATGCTATTCAGTCAGTCAGTATACAATTTTCAAATATACAGAAAATTGCTATCGATTTACTAAGGCCTTAATTAATAATGATAGTTTATATTTATTGTATATGTTGGACAGTCAGCTTCTCTAAAAAGAGTGTTCATTAAATGTGTCCACATCAAAAGAACTCGTTGTTGTGTTCCCTTTGTTTTTGCCTATAGCTTGAGGTTATTACACTCTTCTAGAGTCAGTCCATTACTCATTGTTTATAAAGGCATTACTGTATTGAGAGTGCCTCTGGTGTTTCTTAGGCTTCCTTTCACAATATGATTTATATGCTGGACCAATGGGATCTAACTACCAAGTTGACTTAATAGCTTAACTGCGACTTTAATGCGGTTTCATCGTTCAACTCTTTGCCAGCTTTTGCGACTGTTTCCCATTTTCTTTTTTATATGCATTAATCAAGCCCATTCATTTGCTAATATGCAGTTCTATTCATTTGCGCAAATTTTAAAATAATTGCGACAATAAAATCACCATAAGCCCACAACTCGGCAACAGCAAACCCTTGTAATCATGCCATATCCGGCTTGCTGCGTGTCTACAACCATGTCCGTTGTCTACCAACACCATCTGTCTGCACCTCCATCTCTTCTCCACCATCTCTCCTCTGTGGAGAGTACTGGACTCATCTCCATTCTGAACTCTTTTGCATTCTGACTGTCACTGACGCCGCTCGTATTATATATTTTTTTTTATTTATTTATTTTTCTTCTTTTTTTTTTGCATTATTATAATGAAAAACTCGTTGCACTCTTCACTCCTAATTGTTGTGCTGAGCTGGAGCTGCTGAATGTGTGTGCGTGGTTCGTGTTCCTTGTGTTTCTTTTCCATTTGACATCTTAATTGCTTTGATGATGAATTTCACTGTTGACACTTTTGCGTTCACATAAATTCTTAATGAACTATTTCTCAGTTCAAATGCGTATCCCAGTTTACATTATTTTGCCAAACTCAACTTTAAGTGGTTCCTGTTTACGGTTTGGAGCAACTGTTTATCTTTTTTTTTTTTGTCTTTCTACCAACTTTATACTTAATCAAGTTTTGTTTTACAAACAAAAGATACTCAATAGAAAGAGAATTGCAAATAATGCAGTTAGTGGTAAATAAGTTTACGACTGCTCTTCCTTAGGTTTTACAGGTTAAGCTTTCAAGGACTTGAAAAATGTATGTCTGGAATAAAATTATTGAAAACAGAAATATAAAAAGAAGCAATGAATTTTGTGGCAGATAATTTTAAACTTTAATACTTAAAAAATGTTAGATTTTGATAACAAAATACTGGAAAACATGCTAATATTAAATAGAAGCGTGGCTTAGGTTGGGAGTTTAGAAGTTGAGAATGGTTCAGGTGATTCTAAATCATTGATATAATTGGTAGAACATTAAACCAAAAACCAAGAAACTCGTACCTTAAATATTTTTCAAGCATTTCAAGTACATTTTCAGTATTTTTATTCAGATGCATATCTCTATAGAGATATAAAGCAAAACATGTGCTGAGCAATTAGTTGCGTCTATCTAAAAGTTGCCTTTCAAATCTAAAATTGAGCTAATTTTCTGCTCCATCTAAGGAGGAAGGGGATTGCATAAGATGTCGACCCAGTCGCTTTACTAAAGAAAAAGTTAAATATCTCAACTAGACTAGACAAATGCTGTCGTCTTCCGCTCGGCACCTCATTAAGCCAACTTTTCGAGCACAAAACGACTTTTAATTGCACCCACTGGACACAACATTCCGAGTGCTGTTTCTGGGGGTGGCTGGCTTGACACATGATAAATGCGTGTGTTCTCTTTTTTTAAAATTTTGTTTGAGAAGTTTAAAGTCAGTGGAGCACAAAATGTGTCAGAACAGAACTTGTAGTGTAATTATATGTCTAGCAAAAACCACTTAAAGCACTCGGTTAACATTTCTCAACGACAGCTCAAAGTGAAAGAACAAATACAAACCAAGCCATAGAATACAACAAAAACAATACCAAATAAGTCGTGCACTAATTAAACATCTTGAAAAGCAAACGAAATAAAAAGTGGCGTGAGAATCGGGCGATGACAGTGAAGAAACGTGCGATAAAATTGCCAAAACAAAAAACCAAAACAAAAACAAAGAGACTATTTTAAAACAATATAAGAATAATGTCACAGATCGATTATACCTGTTACACGGTGCCCGAGTGCTCCAGCGATGATAATGACGACGATGATGAGGATGACGACGATGATGCTGTGCATCGAAATCGTAATGGTAATTGTGCTGGTAATGGTTATGGCCAAGATGACTCCAGCGATGGCACGCTCGAGAATGTGCTGCACTCTGATTGCACACTGGATTCGGATGCCACTACAACATCCTCCATTGAGCAGCACCATCACATTTATCGCAAGCACCACCAGCAACAGCTAAGGAATAAACGCTATGCACCTCAGCGCATTTCGTTGCCCATTTTGCGTGCCGGCAGCCACACCAGGGAGCTGACACCGCAGCTGGGCGTCTATCATGATGTGAGGTCAGAGGCAGCAGCAGCAGCAGCAGGAGGAATAGCATCAGCATCAGCACCACCACAGTGGGGCTATTTTGTGCCATTGGCGCCCAACTGTTTCTTCAGTCCGCCCATGCAACGGCGACGCTATAGGTGGGCCGTGTCCTCAATACTAGAGCTAAAAAAAAAGACTAAAAACTCTCCCACACTTAAAACAAAAATCGCTCAGAAATGTAGAAAATTGCCTTTCTTTTGCTTACCTAACTTTTTAGAAAGTGAATTTATAAAAAGAAATGTTGTGTCTTTCATAAAAGCAGGGTTTTCATTTCTTAATTCATTAAAAAAATGTCCAATTCCTCAGTGTTTTTTTGTTCAGACAACTTTTGAATATTGTTTGGAAAATATTTTCTACATTTAGAAAAATACGACACTTTTGGAATTAACGACTCAGAGCCAGCATTGCTAATTTCATTAAATTCATTTCTAGAAACCAGAAAAACGTTCTGATTTTTAAGCGACTTTTTTTTTCCTAGTGCATTAAATCTGAGAACTAAACTGTTTTTTTCTTTTTCGCTTTTTCTTTTGCAGAGAAAAGGAAAACGATCGCAACCGTCGCGCTGTTAGCTATGGCGGTGGAACCTCCCCGACCCACTGCGCGACCATACCGCGTGCCGCGCCGCGTCGTGTGGCGCTCATGAAGGAGCCACCGCCGCCGCCGCCGCCGAAGCCGCAACTGACATCGAAGGCATCACTGCAGTCCACAGACTCCTCGCATGCGTCCAGCATCAGCAAGTATCCGCAGTCTGAGTACAATCTCATACAGAAGATCGACTCGAATAGCACGCTGACTGCACCAGCGCAGTACCAGCCACAGAATTTCTATGCCAACACTGGCACAATATCCTCCACCAATGGCGGCTACTCGTCCCTGCTGTGCCACGCCAGCTCCACGGCCAGTCCGCTGGCAGTGCGCAAGAGGGACAAGCTGCTGCATCGGTTCAGCGATGCGGCCACTTTGGGACGCAAGCTCAAGAAAAAGAAGAACACGAATCGCACCTGCCGCTCCATGACCGAAGCCATTGAGATGCTAGCCGATCCGGTCATCGAGGATGAGTTTTTTGTAAGTACACAATACAACAGATACAACAATTTCTTATCAGCTTTTAGATATACGAAGACAAACATATGCAACATATAAACACACATATAAAGTTAGTTAGTTAGGATCCATGTGAATGCCTTATTTAATCCAATTTTAATTAAATATAAAGACCATTTACTACCTTGTTTATCATCGACCCGGTTTCGAATAGGTGTAAATTGGACGCAAGGGAAATTATTTTTGCTTTTGATATGATTGTGTATTGAATTTTAATCACACTTTGGCATAAATAATGTATTCATAACATGTATAAGCCAAGATTCTTTACAACATCGTTTAATTTTGTCAGTTGAAACTGAACGTTGCAATCAAACTTGTCCGATGCCGTTGTGGTTCGAAACAATGAAATTTATTTAAGAAATAAAAAGTGTTTTTGAAATTATTTTCAACTTCAACTTTTCAAAGAACAATGGCTATTAAAGAACAATGGCTTAAAGTAATTACTTGTTTGTTGTTTGGTGATTTTCTTTTATTATTTCATTATGTCTTTTCGCTGGCGTCAGGTCCAAGAGTTTCCACGAGTTGGGTATTTTAGAATAATTCTATGATGTTGTAAAAGTTCAGATCTTATAAAATTAACCAACATTTTATTATTATTAATGCTCATTGATCTCACAATTTCTCACAGAACTTCCGTTTCGATATCGCAAAAGCTTTCAATCTCACCCATGTGCATTGTCCCTTGAAAAGCTTTTTGGCTTTTTTCAATCTCTTCTCTACTCTTTGTACTCTTTCATTCGTTTTCAATAAAAATAAGGGGGTGTATTTACAAGCGCACGTTCTTTACAAGAACAAAACTTTTATCGCAATTCGTTTTGTTCTTTTCGTGGCTTTTGTGGCTGGAAATTATCTGTGGTGGTCGTTGTGCTTATCTTTGGCTACATAATGAATGACCATTGGATGTTCACTTGCCCGTAGATTGCTCTTCAAATTAATGCATTTTGGTTCAGTACAAATTTGTTGCTCGTCGAACCCCGAACAAATATTCTCTTTGACATTTCCTTATTGTTGCGTGAGCGGAAGTATAAAGCTGACTAATTTACATTTGTATTTGATAAGCGAAGTGAAGTGAAGAAAGAAAAAAGAAATCCAGTCGAAAAGAACTGAACCCATGAGGTCAAAAGATTGTTCGCTAAGAGTGGATTCAAACGATTCATGTGACCTAGTTTGATTGTGAAAATAATGAAAGCGAAATGCCAAATTCATGTTGTTTGCTATTGTAATACTTGGCTAACCTTGAAAGTGAGCTACAAAAACCGCAAAACCGAATTGAACCCAACGATGTTCAAGTATCAAAACACATCCAAAAAGGGGCGTCAATTGAATTACGTGTATTTTGGTTCTGTTACTGTTACAAGGATTTTATCGCCTAATCGGCGGGGCTTTCAAATTTGAATTGGGGCCACTGACACTAAGCCAATAATTATTGCAAATCTAGCTTAATTAGCCAACTCAAGTTGACAGATTAGCATAGAATTTGGCGGGGTTCAGCTCTTAGCATGTAGTATGCACCTATATACATACATATATCCCTCTCATATAATGCATGTATTCAGGAAGACGAATAGTAGGAACAGAACGACTGATGCAAACTGTGTCAATACTTTAGTCAGTTACCTTGCTTGAACCGTCGGCTAATAGATAGACAATAGTAAAGGTAGTGTAGGTGAAGAAGGGGGGGAGGGAGGAACTACATGCTTGGGCTCGGGTTCAGGTCTGTGCACTAATTGGATTAGCTGCATTCCTTTCCAGCAAAAAGTAGAAAAAGTTGTTGCAATAAAATCCAAACAATTGCAGTAAAAAATCGAACGTGCAAAGTGTTGAACGTCTCGTGCGCGTCGCTCGGCCAAAACTCAAAGTGAAAAATTGCAATAAAAAATAAATAAACAAATAAGCACAGTTTCACTTTGCTGCTAAGGGTAATTTGACGTTACTCAAGTATTAAATACTTGGGTATTAAAAGTGGAACTTGCTAAATGCGAATATTCTTGAATATTAGTTTGACCTGTGATTTTTTACTTGTGACTCATGAGAGTGTACAAAAAGAAACGATAAATGATTATTCGATTTTCCCTAGACATATTAATAATTTAAGTGCAACTTCAATTCTAAACGTGACTGGCACAAAAATTTGAAATTCCCTCAATCAAAATTTCCGTTTTCGTGTGCCGCATAAAAGTATGCAATGATTTAAGTGCAACTTGTTTGCCAATTGAAAATACAAAATTGTTGCCGCTTTTAGGCGCGCGGGCAGCAATTAGCATTGCATACTTTTGGGCTCGGTTGATTTTTAAAACCCGCTTGGACTTTTTTCTTTGGTGCCAGCCGACAAAATGAAACCGTCAACGCGACGTCGCAGTTTTAAAACGAAACAACCGCAACCAAAAGCAAATTTCTACAATCCCCTCGTACGACATCGACCCACCGCCTATGTACGCAATGGCATCATTGGCGGTGGCAACGGCCCGGGCGCCGATGGCCTCTATCAGATCGACGATCGCGTCTATACAACCAGCAAAATGTTTTTACGTGATGGCTATATGTATCCCCGTCAGCCTGGCCAGTCAATGGATCCGCGTTTCCCACTCGAACTGCACGAGTTCCCCCAGCAGCTGGGCGCCGCCGGGCTGCAGTTGGTCAGCACACCCAAGGTGCACATTGCCGGCGAGTATTTGGCCAGTGAGCAGGCGCCGACACAGGAGCAGACGCAGGAGCAGCAGGCAGCCGCTGATCGTCGCTGCGTTCGTCAAGCTGCTGCCGCTGACATCAATCTGGCCAATCAGGTCTATTGGCTGGGCAAGCAGCGTTCACGTTCCCGTTCCCGCTCGCGCAGCAACAGTCTGGGCAGCAAGAGCATCACCAGTTGCATTGGCGGCGGCACACTGAGTGCCAGGGAGCAGGAGCGGGACCGAGATCGTCCCTATATACGTAATGTGGATGATTTGCTGCATGCGTTGGGCAGACACGATGCCAGCACTGATAACCAACACGAAACGGCCTCTATACAATCCTCCTCCACACAACGGCGGCGCTTTAAAAAGGTGAGTTTCAACCGGGTGATCAATCAAGCCTCCAATGGAATTTGTCAAGCAACATTGTAATATTTTCATTTACCTTAATTGCGTTGCAAGTCGAGACATTGTTGACACGCCTGCAGTCATGCCGAATTTCCAATTCCTGTCCTCATCACTCATGCCACACACACACTCCAAAGTCCAGAACGCAGCGAAGCTTGCATAGCTTCCACCCTCCTTCATTTGCTTTTTTTTTCTTGTGTTGTTTTTTTTTGTGGTGGATCCCACGGGGCGCGTCTGCGCAAAAATTAAAATTAATGATGTTCAAAATTGTTGCTTGAGGCTCAAAAACAGCAAATGAAGGCAAATAAGCATGCTCTAGTCGAGAGAGCTCGACTAGGTGATACCCAAGCCTTTACGTCTCATAAGTCGTAAAGGTCCTAAAAATGATCATGTTTGAGTGTTTGGCATTGCTGTGGCAATTTGCGGTATCGATAATCGATTTTAATCGATATTGGGGCTAATGGAGTAGTTTAGCGATCACATAAAGTAAACTTTGACTGCGTATGGTATACAAGAACTTATATAACTCATACATAAATCTGACAGTTGCTAAATCGCCTCGGCTATCGATATAGATCACGAATATATATGCCTAATGAGATCGGCGATGCTTTCTCATACTTTGTACATACGTTTGCATATCTTCATTATACCCTTTTTCACAAGTTCACTGGGTTCAGGGTTTAAAAATCAGCCACAAGGCAGACACAGTAGCAGCTAATTTGCCGTTGACTGCGGCAAACACACAGATACATACAGATACACACAGATACACACACACTCACACACACACGTGCATCTGCATGCACACCTGCCAGTTGCAGTCGTTTTCAAAACATTCTGGCAGCCTATCTGTTTGCTGTGGTTCCTTTGTGGCGACTCCACGGCTTCCATTGCGGTTTCATCCATCAGTTTTCAAAAATCATTGCCGTCCTTTTTTTGGGTATTTATTTATGCAGTCATTTTGGCGCAGAACGAGCTTCGCTTCATTCTTGCATTCATCCATCCATTTGGTCAGTGACTTTGAAGTATTCTTGCTCGTTTTGGTCTACTCTCAGCATCATTAGTGAACCTATAAACAATTTTTAGTTTTATTTTGCACCATTTTTCTACGCTGTGGGCAGAATTTATGCGCTTCTGTTTCAGATTCTGAAGAGTATTTAAATTTGAGAAATTGGTTTTCTTGATTGTTTTTTTAATTTACGGTGGGCCAAATTTGACTTACAATTATGTAAAAGTGATCATATCAAGGTGTAATTTGGTTGCATTAATACTGAAATTAGTCAATTTCGTTGGCAATTGAAATAATAGCCATAACAAATTGAAATATAAATAAATATATATATTTAATTGTAGAGCTTTTATATATTAAGTGAAAAATGTAATAAATATTTGTTTGAAATAATTATTTTAACCTGTCTAGATTTTAGTAATAAAAACCAACTCAAATAATAATATTAATAATACTATGAAAATTATAATTTCATTTGATTTTGTATATGTTTTCAATTGTTTCAATAATTGCATTTATCTCTTACTTAATAACAATTATTATTGAGTAAATTTTAGTTTGACAATTTGTTGAAAGTGCAACAACATAAATTCGCAATTCATAAGATTCAAATTAAAATTAAATAAATAATTTGCAAGTGAATAAATTTCAATTGTGAATTCCATTAAATACAAGCAAATATTCAAATAGAAAAATACCACTGTGCAAAATGACTCAACTTCCGCTGTGTAAAATTCCATTTTGAAGTTATGCTCGAATCAACTCGGAATCAAATAAATGAAAACGAATGAAGAAAACATGCTATCTCATTCAACTCTAACCAGCAGGCAGCTGGTTCCTCAACTCTGGAGACTTGAGTGTCTCGTTCT